GGCACAGGCTTCATTTAAAATCAAAATACGTCCATGATAAGGTGCTGATCCTAAAACAAATTCTTGAGCGGTTTTTGCGTTATTGGTGGCAATTGAACAAACCAGGGATCCCTTACCCATGTTAGCCAGTTCTATGGCTTCATCTATGTTTTTGTATGGCAAGATGGTGCTAACAGGGCCAAAAGCCTCTAATTCATGTGTTAACGTATTTGTAAAGGGCTTGTTATTTCTTAGTAAGATGGGAGATATAAAACACCCTTTTGCAGCATCAGCTCCAAGTACCTCAACAGAATCTAAATTACCATATACTAAATCGGATATTTTTAAGAGTTCTTGAATTCTGCTTTTAACCTCTTGTACCTGTGTTTTTCCAGCTAAGGCTCCCATGCGAACTCCTTCAGTTTCTGGATTTCCAATAATGGTTTTAGCCAAACGTTGTGATAAGGCAATTTGTACATCTTCAACCAGATTTTCTGGCACTAAAATTCTGCGCACAGCCGTACATTTTTGACCGCATTTGGTGGTCATTTCTTTGCGCACTTCTTTTACAAAAATGTCCCATTCGGGCATATCAGGTGTTACATCAGCACCCAATATCATACTGTTGAGCGAGTCGGCTTCCATATTAAAGGGCACATTCTCTGTCAGTATTGTTTTGTTGGATTTGAGCATCAGCCCTGTACTAGCCGAACCCGTAAAAGTCACCACATCTTGCGACATGGTGTGGTCGAGCAAATCACCGGCAGAACCGCAAAGCAATTGCAAGGCACCGGCAGGCAAAATACCCGAAGCGATAATCTCACGCACCACAGCCTCGGTAAGGAAAGAGGTAATCGTAGCGGGTTTTACCACAGCAGGCATCCCTGCCAAAAGGTTCACGGCTATCTTCTCCAGCATACCCCAAACAGGGAAGTTGAAGGCATTGATATGTACCGCCACACCCTCTTTAGGTATCAATAAGTGATGCCCCATGAAAGTGCCTTTTTTACTGAGGATATGTGCTTCGCCATCGAGGCAATAAGAGGTATCGGGAAACTTACGACGCAGGGAGGCATTGGCAAAAAGATTTCCGATACCGCCTTCTATATCCACCCAGCTATCGGCTTTGGTAGCCCCTGTTTGGTAGCTGATGGCATAAAATTTATCAAGGTGTTTTTGCAAGTGCAAAGCCAATGCTTTCAGCATCAGTCCGCGCTCTTGAAAAGTCATTTTGCGCAGTGCAGGATTACCCACAGTGCGGGCATAATTCAAAATATCGGCATTGTTGAGCCCTTTGGTAGTGGCAAAAGCCAAAGTATCGCCGTTGACTGCATTGTAAAGCGCTTGGCCTTCGCCATCACCTGCTACCCAATTGCCGAGAACGTAATTTTCTAATTTATGTGCCATAAAAAATGGAATATTGTATTGATTGTTTGAACGGAGGCAAATGTACAAAGGAATGGAGAGGAATGGAAGGAGCTAAATAAATTTTAGAAATCTAAGATTTAATTCAAGGGCTGATTAAATCTCCCTTTATTATTTGAGTTTAATTATGGTTCGGGATGCGCTAAAGCTAACATCCCGAACAGCGAAAAGTAGACAGAAAAGGAATGATAAAAGCACCAGCAATAAATTGGCGGCCGAATCTTGCCAAAACAGTTTTATTGTATCCAATCAAAATTAATACTATATTCGAAATCATAAATATCGATTCATAATGAAAACCAGCCTTCATTTTGCAATTCTATTGCTGCTTAGCCAGCCTTGTTTTGCCCAAAACCTGATACCGAACGGCGATTTTGAATTATTTACTTACTGTCCCACTTTTACAGGACAAATTGATGCTGCCAAAAACTGGATCAATCCAACCCTGGGTACTCCCGACTATTTTAATGCTTGTGTGACGGATGAATATGCCGGTATTCCTGCCAATTATCTGGGTTATCAAAATGCTCATAGCGGAAATGCTTATGGCGGTATTATACTATTTGAAACCTACATTCCGGGGCCACCCTTGCCACCCATTAATTATAGAGAGTATCTGGAGAATGCCTTTACCAGCCCCCTAGTAAAAGGGAAAACTTATGAATTCAGGATGTATGTCAGTTCTGCGGATAAATCCAACTATACTACAAAAGATCTTGGCGTCTATTTTTCAGATACCCTGATAAAGAATACATACGATTATCATCCATTGCCTTTTACACCGCAGATTACTAATCTGACCGGTCAGTTAAACGATACCAGCGGCTGGAAATTAATCAGTGGAAATTATATTGCCAAAGGTGGTGAAAAATACATCCTGATAGGCAATTTCGTGGATGATGCCTCTGTTGATACTGTTTATAATGAATACAGTGGTTACTTTTTTAACCATGCGCACATTTATATTGATGACATTTCATTGACCACCGATCTTGGCATAGCGAATGAACAAGAACCTGAACTGCAAATCTTTCCCAATCCATTCAGGAATACAATCGAAGTAAAGGTACCCAATGAGGAACCGATGCAGTTTATTTTATATAACCTGAGCTTGCATAAAATAGTGGAGCAAACTTTTGTCCATTCAACAAATGTCTGTACCGAAAATTTTTCTAAAGGCATCTACATTTATGAAATTCGCAATAAGGAGGAGACTATTTCAAGAGGAAAAATTATCCGGGAATAGAAGCCGCTATTCGACATTTTCCAAAGGGCCGCATATTTGCCTCTCCTGATCCGCAAAGCAATTGTATTTTAAGCCCCCGCTCGGCGTAGTTTGGGGCGTAGCTAAACAGCAGAGCCAAAAGGTCGTGGGTCACAGCAGTCTCCCGACTGATGTAAGAAATAGTAAAACTTAAAACCTTCCTTCAAATAAATTACATGAATAAAATTACACTTCTCTTTTTGCTTATATCGCAGGCCTTGTTTTCGTATGGTCAGGAGTTAAAAACCATTAAAAAAAAGGTAGAGGAACAATATGGAAAGGCAGTTTTTTATGTTTTGGCGGACAACGATACAGTGAAACATGGACTGTACATCATGAAGGCTTATACCGGCACAAGATTACTCTATAAAGGGAATTATGACCACAACAAAAAAGTAGGGTTTTGGGAAGAGAAATATTATTTTACAAATAATAAAGGTCCAAAGGCCCAGGGATATTACGAAAATGATCAGAAAATAGGTAAATGGGTCTATTTTAGTTTTTCGGGCGACACAGTTCAAATATATAATTGGACAGATAGAAAAATGAATTTCTTAAAGTCCTGTGGAACAGACACAACAGAATATACCATAATAGAGAATGGGCTAGAAAAAAAATCAAGGCTTGATTGCCCCCCAACTTGTATTTCGGGGCTTGATTATTTTCTTTACGAATTTGAAAGAGACGTAGATGAAGCAAAATTTAAAGAAGTTGGGAACAAATTATACGAGCTTAAAACCAAAATCAGTATTCTGATTGATGAAAATAATTCAGTTATGAATGTTTCATTGTCCACAAATGAATCTGCAGAACTTAAAGACTTCATTGAACAATACATCAGGTCATTTGAATGGATTGCAGGTAAAAAAGATGGACAAAACATCGCCTCAACTGTGACAATTTCAATAAACACATCTAGCCAGTTTTAACTTGCTGCAGTCTAATAGTGTTTGTTGCCCCCACCGTTTGGGATATTAAATGACATCACAAAAAAGCTACCGAACATCGAGCATAATTTGATTACAATTGACATGGAGCAAGCAACAGAATTTAAACTTAAAAAAGTAACACTAAAAGACATTGACCAATTACAAAAAATTGGCAGAAAGACATTCTATGAAACATTTGCAGAATCGAACAGCGCAGCCAATATGGTACAGTATTTGGAAGAAAGCTTTTCTACAGCAAAACTGACATCAGAACTGCAGGACAGCAATTCAGCATTTTATTTTGCCACATTGGACAATATAGAAATTGGATATCTAAAACTAAACTTTGGATCATCACAAACTGAACTGCAAGACAAAAAGGGACTCGAGATAGAACGCATTTATGTAAGTAAAGAATTTCAGGGAAAAAATGTTGGGCAATTACTCTACGAAAAGGCATTAGCAATTGCTAGACAACACAAATCGGACTTTATTTGGTTAGGCGTCTGGGAAGAAAATACAAAAGCCATCAATTTTTACAAGAAGAATGGTTTTGTAGCATTTGACAAACACATCTTTAAATTAGGTGATGACGAACAGACAGACATCATGATGAAACTAGGGCTTACAACCCCTGCTAATGTTGAGACTAAAGTTTAGTCAACTGTTGGGGATGCCCTTCGTAATATGCCCAATTATTTACCCACCCCTACCCCTCCAAAGGAGGGGAATTCGTGTTGGGGAATTGTGTCGCAAAGAAGAATGATAGTACTAGTGCTCAGCTCGCTCTACTCAGGTACATACTCGCATATGGAAAGTAATATCCTCAAAAACATGGAGTTTTTATAGAAGGTCCTTCGTGCAAACTTTAAATATTTGAATTTCTATTTTACATTCGTAGCAATTTGAAGATTGTTTCGTGGCATAACTTACTTTGCCCTGCCGCAAATTCTTGTTACAGATAAATGTCCAAATGATTTTGACCAATTAAGAACGAATAGAAAAATGCAAAGAAGAAAATTTATTAAAGACGCATTGACAGGGCTGCCCATCATTTTAGTAGCACCATCTATCTTGGCTAGTTCTTGTAGCAAAGAAAAAAAGGGTAATCCCAACGGTAAAACAGTATTGGTTATTGGTGCAGGTATTTCAGGACTTGTTGCAGCAAAAAAACTCAAAGAAGAAGGATTTACTGTAATAGTGTTAGAATCTCAAGACAAAGTTGGGGGACGTTTGAGCACCAACAGAAGCCTAGGTATAGCCTTTGATGAAGGGGCAAGTTGGATTCATGGCATCTCTGGTAATCCGATAACAAATTTGGCTCAAGAAGCAGGAATGACGAGTGTTGAAACTGTAGACGACCAAGCAGAAGCTTGCTACGATATTGGGGGCGTTTTGCGAAGTGCATCATCCTATAATAGTGCCGAAAATAATCTTTATAGCATTTTAGACACTTTGATGCATAGCGGAAACGCTAGTCAGAGTTTTGAGACCGTTTTTAATTCTTTATACCCCTCACTTTCTGTTGATAGACTTTGGAAATTTTTGCTTTCTACTTATGTTACCTTCGACACAGGTGATTTAAACAATTTATCTTCTCTGCTCTACAATGAAGGGGAGGAATTTGGCGGTGTCGAAAAAATTGCAACGAATGGATATGATACCATCCCCAATTTTTTAGCCAAAGGACTAGATGTTCAATTGAATCAAAGGGTTTCAAAAATTGATTATTCTGGTTCTAAAATTAAAGTAAGCCATAATGGTGCGGAAACAGAAGCCGATTATGTATTGGTGAGCGTCCCCTTAGGAGTGCTAAAAGCCAATACGATTCAATTTTCACCTAGCCTACCAGCTGCAAAACAAACTGCAATTCAAAAACTTGGAATGAATTGTGTCAATAAGTTTTTATTGACATGGAATACTCCGTTTTGGGATAATACACAATACATCGTGTACACACCTGAAACTAGGGATAAGTTTAATTATTTTGTGAACGTAAATAAATACAAGCCTGGAGCCAATGCGCTAATGACTTTTGCTTATGCTGACTATGCTCGGAACACAGAATCCATGACAGACGGAGCAATAATCAATGAAATAATGATTCACCTGAAAGATATTTACGGAAGCAGTATTCCTAGCCCTACCAACATGTTGCGCACCAAATGGCAAAACAATGAAAATAGTTTTGGTTCTTACTCTTACACAGCTGTAGGGTCAGAAATGAAACATTTTAATGAGCTTTCTGATGATATAAACAACAAACTATTTTTTGCAGGAGAACATACTCACGCAGATTATTTTTCAACAGCTCACGGAGCCTATTTAAGTGGAATTAGAGAAGCTGACAAAATTATCAGCTTGCTTTAATTAAAAAGTGAATCACCACTATCCCCATCATAAGGCAAAGAATTGGAGCGTTCTTGTTCCTAAAAACACATAAATTCACTAGCCAAAATCCCAAACTGAATTTTTGCGCTATTGATACAGTGATACCTCTACGTATATTTGTAATTACGTTCGGTCTAGAAGTTTCAAACGCCGTGACTACGACAACAACTAAATCGTTAGTATCAATTCAAAAAACAATGAAAGAGTGGACAATTTTACTTGCAACAACAGCATTGCTGTTATTAGGACTGCGCAGTAGCGGACAAGCATATACAAATAGCTCAAACTATCAAGATTTCATAAAAGAAATTAAAGAACAAAGTACGCTTATTGCTCTTAATCCTAAGAATAGTGATGCATACCTGAAACGGGCTTATTTTAGAAACAAGCTGTCAGATTACGTAGGAGCGATTGAAGATTTAAATAAAGTAATTGAAATTAATCCGACTGATTATCTAGCAATAAACAGTAGAGCTTTTCAAAAAGATGCCATGAGAGATTATGCTAGTGCTATTGAAGACTATACAAAAGCAATAGAAATAAAACCTGACTTTATTGATGCCTATTACGGCAGAGCAATAGACAGATACAAATTAACACTCTTCAAAGAAGCAATTGAAGATTACGACAAAGTCATAACGTTAGACACTACGCATTTTGAAGTATATCTTTTCAGAGCATATGCCAAATTTGAAGTCAAAGATTATAAGGGTGCTATTATAGACTACAATAAAGTTATTGCGTTAAACCCTAACAATGCTAAAGCATATAACAACCGAGGTATTGCTAAATTTTACTTGAATGATTTAAGCAGTTCACTGGAAGATATTAATATCGCAATTGGATTAGACCCTAATTACGCACAAGCGTATAACAAAAGAGGGCAAGTAAAATATGGACTAAAAGATTTTAAAGGTTCAATTCAAGATTACAACAAATCTATACAATTAGATTCAACGAATTCTTCTGCGTACAATAATAGAGCGGTCACAAAAATTCAATTACAAGACTATCAAAGTGCAATTAAAGATTGTGACAAGGCAATTGAACTAGATGCGTTTAGATCAGAGAACTATTTTACTCGTGGATTAGCATACGAAAAAAGTGGAAATACACAAAAAGCAAAGAGTGATTTTAAAACGGGAGAATCCTTAAAAAAAAGAGAACAATGATTTTTATAATCACTCCTCCATTTTCGCATTATACTTCAATACAATGTAGCGTGGCGTATTTGTGCTAGAAGATCGAATTATTCTTTGCTATCAACAAAAAAACCCATCGTTAAATCAAACGATAAATCTCCATGATATCGGCCAATATTTTGGGGAAATCGATTTTTAAATCAATCAATTTGCCGCTATGAATATCAAATACCCATCCGTGTACGCTGATTCCTCGCTCTTGGTAAACTTCTTGCACTGCAGCAAGTTTGATCACATTGATACATTGCTCTTGAACATTGAGCTCCACTAACCTATCGTATCGTGCTTCTTCGCTTTCAATTGCGTTTAATTCATCCTTGTGTGTACGATAAACATCTCTGATATTTCTGAGCCAAGGGTTTAGAATGCCCATATCCTGTGGTTGCATAGCGGCTTTTACCCCTCCGCAGGAATAGTGTCCGCACACGATGATATGCTTTACCTTAAGATGCCTTACTGCATAGTTAATCACGCTCATCACATTCATATCAATGCTCACTACCATATTGGCAATATTGCGATGAATAAACACTTCTCCTGGTCCAACCCCCATCAAATCTTCGGCTGTCACTCGGCTATCAGAGCAGCCGATGTACAAAAAATCGGGGCTTTGCCCTTTATCTAAATTGATAAAATAATTGGGGTCTTTCTGTAGTTTTTCGGCTACCCAGAGTTCGTTATTTTTAAATATCGCTTCAAATTTGTCCATCAGAAATAATTTTAATTAAAGTAAAACATCTTGTTCAGGATTTAATTTTTGGGGTAAATTTTCTTCGCCCAAAAATTCTTTGATATCTATTTCAATATTACGGCATATCGCAGACAATGGGGTATCGTTTACCGCATTGTCAAAAGGATTTTCGCTAAACTCTCCTATTTGTTCCATAGTAAAAAAGACCCATGAAATCAGTAATGAAAAGGGAATAGTAAGCCAAACACCCCAACTTGCCAATGCGTTCAATTCCTTAAGCAAACCGAAGGGTATCAAAAAGATAAACAGTATCACAAAAACCCTGCTGAAGATGCTGTATTGACGAAATAGCGGTGTATTTTTTATTCTTTCGCAACCGCCTTGCAGGTTAAACAATTCATTGATGTGCTTTACTAGGTCGCTATGTTCATATTCATCAAGCTTTCCTTCTCTTTTCAGCTTGGTCAAATCTAATATCTGTGATTTCAGAATACCAGAAGCCACGTTGTTCTTACCTTTCAAAGCTTCGTAATACTGCATTTTATTATTCTCTTGGAGAATTTTCTTTAATCCTTCATCAAATTCTTCTAGCTCAGCTCGCTCACCCGAAAAGGTTTGGTGCAGATTTTCTCTACTAGTAGCCCAAGGTAGTGTTTTGCGCAATTGCAATCTCAATACATTGACATAAGCAATATGCCTGTATAATAATTCCTTCGCAACAGCTTTATCCTCGAGCAAGGCAATTAATTGTACTGCGAAATTGCGGCTAGTGTTGGTTATGCCTCCCCATAATCTTCTAGCCTCCCAAAGTCTATCGTAAGCTTGGTTGTTCTTAAAACCAACATAAAAGGCTACAGCAGTACCGACAGATGCAATTGGCACAAAGGGTATAGCAATAAAAGTAAAGCCGGCATATCTGTACAGGAGCACCGCCGATAGGCTGACCAAAAAGGTTCGTAACAAATTTTTTCGGGCAAAATGCCAAAGCAATTCGAACTTAAATACTTTTCCTGTGTACATGATTTTCTGTTTTTTTGAAAGGACAATAAGGCACTATTACAGCAAGGACAAGTAGCTAGCATCTTGCTCCACTAGCAAACGATGAGGCATGCCTAATACCAAAGTGTTGTTCACTTCATCGTGTCCACAAGCAAAGTTGAAAGCAACAGGAAATTCGTATTCTTTCACTTTATCACTAATGATTTGCTCTAAACTTTGTCCAAAAGGACGCTCGGTATCTTCAATGTCGGTGAAGCTGCCTACCAAAAGCCCTTTCAGTTTACTCAATTGCCCCGAGTGTTTGAGGTTGAGCATCATACGGTCAATATGATACAAATGCTCCCCAATATCTTCGATAAACAAGATTTTGCCATCGGTATCTATCTCGGATGCAGAACCTGTGAGGTGTGCTAGCATAGCCAAATTACCACCAACAACAACTGCTTCAACTTCGCCCATTCTATTGTAGTCAGAAGGAGCAATTTCGTAGGATAATGCCTCGCCTGTCAAGGCTTTGCGGAGGCTGAGTATATAATCTTCTTCTTCAGTTTCGGGCTTAAAAGCCCCACACATTACTGAGTGTATCGTTGGAATACCGAATTGCGCATGAATATGACTGTGCAAAACTGTGATATCGCTAAAGCCGCAAATCCATTTGGGATGTTGTATAAATGTTGTAAAATCTATTTGATCGATAATACGACTAAGACCATAACCGCCCCGCCCCATAAGTATGGCATCAATTTCGGGGTCGTCGAGCATAGCTTGCAAATCCGCAGCTCGTGTGGCATCATCGCCCGAGAAATAATGAAACTCATTGCCAACAGTTTTACCCACTTTGGTCTGAAAGCCCCATTTTTCGAGAACTGTAAAAGCATAAGCCACTCTTTCGGCAGATACATATCCGGAAGGGCAAGTAATACCGATTGTTGCATTGGGCTTTAAAAAAGGAGGAGTTTTACTCAATGTTCTATTTTTTTGTTGATGAAGGTATATTGGACTTAATCTACACTTAGCCGCAGAAAATTTAATTTACTAAATAATGCTCTTCCACCTCACACAAAATATCTGCTAATTCTTGCGCATCCATTGTATTGACCAATCTGCTACGGTATTCTTTGACATGAGATAAGCCACGGAGGTAATTGGCATAATGTCGGCGCATTTCGAGGATTCCGAGTTTCTCTCCTTTCCATTTGATAGAGCCTTCAAGATGTTTACGACAGGCATTTACGCGCTCATTAATGCTAGGTGCAGCAAGGGTTTCGCCGGTAGCAAGATAATGTTTGATTTCTCTAAATATCCAAGGATAGCCTATAGCAGCACGTCCAATCATAATGCCATCTACACCATATCGTTCTTTGTATTCTTTTGCCTTTTGAGGACTGTCAATATCGCCATTCCCAAAAATCGGAATTTTGATACGGGGATTATTTTTCACTTTGGCAATGAGTGTCCAATCTGCATCGCCTTTGTACAATTGCGCTCGGGTGCGCCCATGAATGCTTAATGCGCTGATGCCGACATCTTGCAATCGCTCAGCTACTTCTTCAATATTTTTAGAATTATCATCCCAACCGAGGCGGGTTTTTACAGTCACAGGCAAACTAGTATTGTCCACACAGGCCTTGGTAAGGCGTACCATCAAATCTATATCTTTCAGCACAGCGGCTCCTGCACCTTTGCACACTACTTTCTTCACCGGACATCCAAAATTAATGTCTAACAAATCGGGTTGAGTTGCATCTACAATTTTTGCCGAAAGTGCCATTGCTTCTTCGTCGCCACCAAATATTTGAATACCCACAGGACGTTCGTAATCAAAAATATCTAGCTTTTGTCGGCTTTTAATCGCATCGCGAATGAGTCCTTCGGTGGAGATAAACTCGGTGTACATGAGGTCTGCACCATTTTCTTTGCACACGGCACGAAAAGGTGGGTCGCTCACATCTTCCATTGGCGCGAGCAAAAGTGGAAAATCGGGTAATTCTATATTGGCAATTTTGACCATAATAACAGCTTGCGAAGTTAGGGGATTATCCATTTTGGAAGTTCACTATCATGGAAGCAAATCGCTATGAGTACATTATCTTTGCCAACATAATTTTTATCATGCTCCCTAGTACCGAAGATATTATTCAACAAACCAAAAATTGGGTCAGAGATGTGGTGATTGGCTGCGGTTTTTGCCCCTTTGCCAATAAGGTTTTTATTGAAAATACAATTCGCTATGTAGTGATTGAAGGTGCTGCCTTGCACGAACATCCTCAACAAGTACTAGAAGAACTACAATTATTAGAACAAAATGCGTCTATAGAAACGACTTTGCTTGTTTTTCCTGATGCCTACCAACATTTCAATAGCTATCTTCATTTTTTGAAACAATGCGAGAAATTGAGCATTCGTAAGGGTTTTGAAGGCGTGTTTCAAATTGCGAGTTTTCATCCCGAGTACATTTTTGGTGATGCAGCAGAACATGATGCTGCTAATTATACCAATCGTTCGCCCTACCCTATGTTGCATTTGATCAGAGAAGAAAGCCTTAGCAAAGCTATTTCTTTCCACCCCGACCCTGATGGTATTCCACAACGAAATGTCAATTTTGCCAAGGAAAAAGGAATAGAATACATGCAGCAATTATTGCATCAAGCAATGCAATTGTAAGATTATCTAGTGTCTCTCTTTTGATAAATACTAAACCAGGAGACCTTTTCTTTGAATTCGTATTTAGTCAAATCGAGCTTAGGAATGGGCTTGTCATCTTCCGACAAAATCAATACTTCCTGATTATCAAAAGCTGCATCATAATTAGTAATTAATTGCTTTTGTTTGAGCAAAAAATTCCACATATACGATTCGTCCGAAATCCATACACGAGCATCTTTTCCTATGTTTAAAGGTTTTGCTGTAAGGCTCAGGTAAAATGCCTTAGTATTTTGTCCATACAGATGTGTAGCAATAATACTTTGATTGTATTGATAACCGATTATTGATGCCCATAAAATCAGCGCTGAAAAAAATAGTTTGCCCCATAAAATATTTCGAAACAGATTATTCCATAAAACAATACAAAGCACTGAAAAAATCAACAATGAAAGTTGCATTTGAAAGCCTATAGCCCGAAAAAATGGAACTTGTTTCATTAGCAATACCAAGGCCAATACAGCTATCCATATGAGGATACCAAGATATGTCAATGATGATATAGCAGATAGTTGCTTACGAAATATTAAAAGCAAAATAAGTGGCAGCACAAAAAAACTAATCGCCCAATACTGAAGCATTGGAGCAAATGAAAAACTCATTATTGAAACATCATTGGCCATATAATGAGCCCATAGCGCTACCACTTCAGTTACATTAAGCGGTAGCGCAGCTACATATTTATTCAAAAAAACAGAGCTAAAACCTGAATAGCAAAAAACAGGTGTATAAACCCATAAAATAGCACAGACACTCAATAACATCATTTGCCAAAAAGCAATATGCAATTGCTTTTGTTTAAGCATTAGCACAAGAGCCACGAGCCCTTCGAATGTCATGAAGTATAAAAAAGAGGGAATAGTCCAAACGCCCAAAACATTGCAGAACAACAAGGCTAAGAGCAGTAGTTTTTTATTTTCCTTTTCGACAACAAAGAAATAATCATACAGAGCTACAAAAGCATACCACTGCAAGAGATAATACAAAGCATAACCACGAGCCTGAGCGGCAAATCCCCAAATCATAAACTGTTGCGCCAGTAAGACACAGACTAGAAAAGCAAGGAAATTACTTTTAGTAAATCGGCGAATAAAAAAGAATTGACTACATAATAAAAGTGCATAAAAAATGCCTGACAACAATCTACCCGAAAGCACATAATCACCAACAATTTTGCCAGCAAAATGATTCAATAAATTGAAAAAGATATGGTTGTTGGGTACAGGATAATAACTAAATAAATGGGCAACAGGTTGTTGGGCAAAATTGAAAGCAGAAAAAGCTTCATCAGTACATAATGGACTTTGTGCATTCATAAAAATCCAAAGGATAACACAGAGGGCAATAAGTGCCAAAAGCCAATAAACACTTGAAGTACAAGTACGAAAATGTTGAATAATTTTCTCTCTGACAAGCTGCACATCAAAACTGCGAAACCAAAACAATAGTAGAACAGAGAAAGCCATCCCTAGGATGCAAAACAAATTCGCTTGTCTTTTTAGGGCATCGGTAAAGATATCCTGCTCAAAAATTGCCTGACGATAAAATGGTGAATGTTGCTGCAGATAATCTTGGAGTAATTGCGAGCGACTATGGCTCAAATAGTAAATAGCAAAAGACCAATAAAGGCCAAGCAAAATAAGCCATAAAAGAAAAGTAAAGCTCTTAATGCTGATTTTCAAAGCGAGAAATATTGAAGGTATAACATGCTTTTAAGGATGATTAAACAGTATCCATAAAGCTCTTTTCCACCTTGTTAAAAATGACTGTACCAAGCAATACCATTACAAGTGTAAAAACAGTAGCATAGATTATTCCTCCCCAAGAAAAAGAACCACCTCCAGCACCCAAAAATGCATATCGGAAAGTTTCGATAACCGGCGACATAGGATTGAGCATGAGTATAGATTTTATGCCCGGCTTCATACTCAATGAGCTAATCGGATAAATTACTGGAGTGGCATACATCAATAACTGAACCGCAAAAGTGAGCAAAAAAACCAAGTCACGATATTTATTGGTCAAAGCAGTAACTATCAAACCAAATCCTAAACCCAAACCGCCCATAATGAGTACCAATAAGGGCAAAAGTGCTATAGCTGCATTTGGGTGGATAACATCTGTTGTAGACAAATAATACAACCAATAGGCCAAAAACAATCCAAATTGAATAGCAAGTTTAATCAGATTACTCACTACTATCGATAAAGGCATGATTAAGCGCGGAAAATATACTTTACCAAATACGGCTGCATTATCTCTAAAAACCGTAGATGTTTTATTGAGACAATCAGCAAAATATGCCCATAATGTAGTACCGGCCATATAAAACAAAATGGCAGGAACCGTTCCTGTTTTGATACCGGCGATATTATTAAAAACAAATTGAAAGGTATAAGCGGTAATCAAGGGCTGTAAGAAAAACCAAATAGGGCCTAAAATCGTTTGCTTATAGGTAGCTACAAAATCACGGCGAACAAGCAGCATCAACAAATCGCGATAACGCCAAACCTCCTTTAATTGTAAATCAAAAAGACTGCTTTGCGGCTGAATGACTTCAGTCCAGTGCTCCTGTGTATGCGTGTGATTCTGTTCCATTATTCTTACAACTGCAAATATAATAGAAATACTAGGATATTGACTATGCATAAGCTGTGCTTTGGCTGTGACAATTGCTTCTAGATTTGGAAAGCTCGAATGTTTTGAGCATTTTTAAAGACTCAATAGTTCTAGTTTCAATGAAAAAATCACTTCTATTTATTGCTTTTTGCAGTGCTATCTCGGCAAATGCACAAAACAGCTATCGCTCATACCTAAAGGATAATACTAGCTACCGCGAACATCCTTTGGACATTACACGAATGAAAGTGCAGGTGTCTTTTGAGCCCGAAAAAGGACTTGTAAGAGGAAAAGTAACGCACAGTTTTACGGTATTGCAACAAAAGGTAGACTCCGTATTTTTTGATGCTCCAGATATAAAAATTCTCTCGGCGACACTCAATAAACAACCTTTACAGTTTACAAAAGTATCAACAGGTGTTTGGGTTAAACCCAATAAATCACTAAAATGGGACGAAAGTGGCAAAATCACATTTGAATATGAAGCGAAACCCAAAAGAGGAATCTATTTCATCGGTTGGAATGTACCCGAAAATAAAGAGCAAAACCCCTTTGCGGTAAGAAAACAAATATGGACCCAAGGTCAAGGGATTGACAACAGGGCATGGATACCGATGTATGACGACATGAATGATAAATTCATCACAGAAACCATCATCACTTTTGATAAAGATTATGAAGTATTGTCCAACGGTGTTTTACAAAGCAAAACGCTGAATGACGATAACACTTATACCTGGCATTATGCCATGACTAAGCCTCATGCAGGCTATTTGCTGATGTTGGGCATCGGTAAATACCAAATCAAAAAAACAAAAAGTGGTAATGGCGTACCTATGAATTTGTATTACTACCCCGAGTTTGCCGATAGAGCGGAACCTACTTATCGATATTCCGAAATGATGCTTGATTTTCTAGAGCGTGAAACAGGAATCGCTTATCCCTGGGAAAGCTATTCGCAAATAATGGTACAGGATTTTCTGTATGGCGCAATGGAAAACACAACAGCTACCATTTTTGGAGATTTTTTCAATGTTGACCAAAGAGCTTTTATTGACCGAAACTATGTGGGTGTCAATTGTCATGAACTTACCCATCAATGGTTTGGAGATTGCATCACCGCTAGAGATGGTC